TCCCAGATAATCTTTTCTGCATATAGGTTGAAAAGGTATGGAGATAGCAGGCATCCCTGGCGTACGCCCTTCCCAATTTTGAGCCAATCTCCTATCTCCATATCAGAGAAATAGCTTTAAGAATTACGGAGATTAGAAGCTTCATTTACGTGTGATAATTTGGAGATGTTCCGGGGGTAGAGTGCATTACATGATGGGTTGCTAATGGGAAAGGTTGGCAGTTTGAATACTCTAGTCAGTCAGAGGAAGAGAGTGGAAACCATTTCTTCCCACAAAGATATACTGCTACTGCCTCAGAAGGTTACCATGCTTTTAAACGGATTCAAATGCATGGGGTTAGTTAGTAGAGAAAATGTTGGAGCTGTGAGACAGAGTTTGGGGGGTGCGGGTGGGGGGAAGCAACCAAAGTAGAAAATACAAGTTTAGTTTTTACAACGTCTCTATAATATAGGTAGCATTACCTCCATTTTCAGATTATGAAAGTAAGGCTCAGCTAAGGTGTTTTTTGCCCAGAATTGCCATTTGTGGTGATTGGGTTTGAACTGTATTGCTGATTGTTGTTGGTTACATCAAGTAAATTGTGACTCATGGTGCTGAGCAAAAAAAAAAAAACTGCTCCAGGGATTGTTGTGCCTGTCTTCTGAGGCACTTCTGTGTGAGTTTGAATTGCTAACCTGTCAGCTAGTAGACAAGTGCATGTTTGTTCCAGCCAAGAACTACTAAAGTTGCTGATAGCTACTATTTATTGGTCTCGCTCTGGACTTGTGCTAGGTACTTAGATTTATTTGCTCTAACATCCACCGCAAAGTATTATTCCTGTTCTACATAAGAGGAAATTCATGTTTATAGGCCATGGCCACAGCCAATAATAGGGAAAGCCAAGATTTGAATCTAGGCTAGATTCCAGAGTTACTACACAGCCTGGACATATTTTGATGGAATTTTTGAAGACTGTGAGTTAGTTTTTGTTTGGTATCATCAAGTCAGAACTGACTCATAGCTGAGCCTAAAACACAGCAGGTTTTCAGAGGCAGTAAGTCACATGGGAGGAGATTGCCCATCCTTCACCCAAGGAGCAGCTGGTGGATTTGAATCACGTGCCTTTGAGATTGCAGCGTAAGTTTTTACCACTAGACCACCAGAGCTTTCTAATAAAGCAGAAGAGGCTGGTGGGAGAGTAGGCTTGGCTCCCTGCCTCCTGCTCTACATGCCAGTTTCAACATGCAAGAAAGACTCCATGCCACCAAGACATTGACAGTCCCTCAAGTTAGGTTTCTCCATAAGTAATAATCAGATTTCTGTGTAAAGATACTGAAATTTAGTCTTTGGGGTTTTGATTAAAATTCTAGAGTAATAATAGATTGTATGGAATAGTAACTGATCATAAATGATAATTTATCATGGTGAGTTTTTTTTTTAAAGTTGATAAATCCCTAGTTCCTTATATCTTAGAAACTTAATTATATGGAAAACACAGGGTGATATTGAGAGGCTTCCCATGAAAAAGATAAGACAGAGGTGAAATTTGATAGCTCTTTCCAGTTATATGAAGGATTGAGGCCCAGGAGATGTTGGGTAATATGTGTAAAATGCTCAGTATAGCTTACTGTATATGAACTGCTGTCATCACCATCATCCCTGTCATATAACAGTGAAGTAGAACTAATAGACCAAAAAGCCGTTATCCGAACAGATCAAGGGAACGATGCATGGTTTAAGATCAAGAAAGTTGTGCATCTTAACTGTATTCTTTTCTCCATTCATAAGTGGGACTTTATAAAAAAGAATGTAGCATCAGGATTGGAGGAAGACTCATAAACAAGCTGTGGTATGCAGATGACACAACCTTGCTTGCCAAAAGTGAGGAGGACTTGAAGCACTTGCTGCAGAAGATCAAAGACTACAACCTTCAATATAGATTACATCTAAACCTCTAGAAAACAGAACTCCTCTCCATAGGGCCAATAACAATTTCATGACAGGTGGAGAAACAATTAAAATTGTCAGTTATTTAATTTTAGATGAATCCATAATCAGTACCTTGGTACAAGCAGTCAGGAGATCAGGAGACAGATAGCATTAGGAAAGTCTGCTGTGAGGGACTTCTCTAAAGTCCTGAAGAACACTGATGTCAGTTTGAAGACTAGGGTGCACATGATTCAAGCCATGGTCTTTTCCAGTCAACTGCTGTGCATCTGATAGTGGGGTGTGAATAAGGATGACAGAGGACAGTTAATACCTTTGAATTGTGGTGTTGGAGAAGAGTACAGAATATTCCATGAACTGCCAAAAGAACAAATATGTCTTAGAGAGAGTACAACTAGAGTGCTCCTTAGAAGCAAGGATGGTGAAGCTTGGTCTCACATACTTGGAGCATGTTGTTAGGAAGGGCTGGTCCTTGGAAAGGAACATTATGCTTAGAAAGGTGAAGGCTCAGAGAAAGATTGGGAACCCTCAGTGAGATGAATTGGCACAATGGTCTGAAGTGTGGCAGGGCTGATAAGGATGACACAAGATAGGGCAGGCAGGGTACAGAGCTGTAGCACCTCACAACAATAAATTACAAAGAAGATTTAATTTACATTTATAAAATAATTCAGTGTAGTTCTGTACACCTGTGGAGTGCTTTCCCTTATTTATGAACAGCTCTTCCCTAGAATTTTCTAGCAAAGCCCAGAGATCTGGTAGAGAATTGTTAGCAGGTGGTGGTGTCTGACTGTAGGTTCCTTCCAACATACACTGAAAACTCTCACTGCCATCTGCTCAGTTCTGTTCACAGTGGCCCACTGTTGGATTTCCAGGGCTGAAAATCTTAATAGGAGGAGACTGTCCATCCTTCTCCATTGGTGCTAGTGGTAGTGTTGAATCAGCAGAGAATATATGCATATTTATTGTACTTCTCATTTGAAGGTTGATGATAATATATCCAACATTAGCCTCTTCTCTACAGTGTACCTTCATTATAACGACAGTCACGTAGGCTGTACTTACCTGAGCCTGTGACTCTATTCTGTGGGGTTATGCTGTCTACTGTAGAACACAAAATCTTAACTCATCTTTGTAGCTCTACATTCTGCGTAGAGGAAAATAGTATACTGTACAAATTACTGAGCAGATGAGTGACTCTTTTATGTTTAATTGGGGACATTGCTTCATATTCTGTCTTCATCAGCAATAACAAACTCACTGAAATTAAGTCAGTTCCAGCTCACAGGAACATTATAGGATACAGTAGACCTGCCCTGTAGGTCTTTATGGAACCTGACTGCCACCATCTTTCTCCATTCTCCTTTACTCCCCTATCTGACCAGGGAGTTCAAGTTATTGACCTTCAGGTTAGCAGAGTAACCCTTTTATTTGACTTTAGGTTCAAGGGGTCAGAGGAAGTGGAGTATGCATGGGCTTACCAGGATCTCTGTTGTCACAGTGTTTGCTGCGTGGAGTCTTCCCTGCATTTGCTGAAATTGCCATGTGAAGTGAAGGACCTTCCCTCTCACCATGCTCTTTTGGTTCCTAGTGACATTGTGGAAACTTGTGCCTTTTATTAGTAAAAATTTGTTTTCTTCATACAGAGTTAATAAAAATAGTCATGAATATATGATGTTTCTTTTAGCCCAGAAATGACCCTCCTGATTTCTTGAAAAATTCATTATTGGAATCTGACAGTGCTTTTATTGGTGAGTATATATATTCTGATTTGCTGATATTGTTTGTTCATATAGCAAACATAATTTATTTTTCTATTAAATGTTTTTTCTATACTATAAAATCAATATTCTTTTTTATATATAAGCTGATGGAAAAAGAGATTTTATTTTTATTACCTGTTTTAATGAATCATTATAAAATATACTCTATAAATTAATTTTCCAAATAACTAATAACTAAAAATAGCTTAAAAAGTTAGTTCACATAAAAACCCACCCACTGCCACTGAGCTGATTATGACTCATAGTGAGACCTCCATGGGATTTCCAGTGTGGCAAATCTTTATAAGAAGAGGCAGTCCCACCTTTCTCCCATAGAGTGCCTAGTGGATTTGAACTGCCAACCTTTTAAACAGACCAGCATGCGACACACTAATCCATAATGGCTCCTTGGTATTCTCAGTGTCTTTATCTGTACTAGCTAAACATTGTGTCAGCTTATATGTGCTTCCCCAGATGCCTGGTTAGATGTTCAGTGGCATGTGTGTGCTGTGGAGTACTACTCAGAATAAAGAGCAGTGGACCATTGACATGCAGCACACCTGGGATCATTCTCTAGGGAAATATGCTGAACCAGAGAAACAGTCTCAAAAAGTTAGGTACTAGATTATTCCATTTATGGAACAGTTTTTAAATAAAAGAACTTTAGAAATTGAGGGCAGATCTCTGGTTGTGGAGGCTTGCTGAAGGCCATCATGCTTGGAAAAGTAAGAAGAGAGGAAGACCATTAATGAGGAGGGTTGACACAGTGACAACAGCAGTGGGATTATGCCCAGCAAAGGCTGTGTGGACGGCGCAGGTTCAGACAGGATTTGCTCTGTTCATAGGGTGGTTACGTTAGGTACTGACGCCTGGCATCCGACAGCAGAAGCAACCACAGCAGGACTTGAGAGTGAGGATGGGTGGATGTGATTGTAAAATAGCAGCGTGAGAGATGTTTGTGGGGTTTGTAACTGTTTTGTTTTGACTGTAGTGGTAGGTAAAATACTATACTGGTGATGAAACTGTAGCATCACACACAGAGCACACGAGCACAAATAGAAATGGGAAATTGGGATAAAATACAAAGTTTGTATTACTATTAATATCCTGGTTGTATTATTTGCTGTAGTTGGGTTAAAAAAATTTTTTTTTGCTATAGTTTTGAAAAACATTAATAGTGGTGGGAATATGGCCAGTGGTACATGGGATGTATCTTATTAATTAGAACTACTTATGACTCTGTGATTATCTCAATAAGACTTTCAAAAATGTAGGAATAAAGTCTTCAGTATACATGTGAAGGTGCGATGGAATCTTTCCTCTAATAGTCAATGCACTCTGTTCATAAGCTTTTCCTCTACTTCAGGGGAATTAGGAAATGATCTCTTCTGTGTACTAACTGTATTTCATATCATTCAGTTACTTTAGATTTTCATATGATGTATGTTACAGAGTGACATATGTTTCTATATTAGTGGTTTCTTCTCTCCCTTCAAATAAGTTTTTCCCATCTCTTAAGATAGAGGAAGTTCTGTGGGAAGGATGAGCAAGAGATACAAATAGTGGGGAGCAGAGGTGGGAAGATGACCCTTCTGTGGAGGCATCAGGGAGATGGGACCTATCTCTCCCAGCAACGAAGAAGTCGGAGCAGGGATGTCATGAAGGGTTAGTGTGACCCAGTCCTGTGACCCCAGTGATACCCCAACTCCTCTTATACCACGTTATACTTAACTTTAGTAATGTAATCAGCTGTTGTTGTTATGTGCCATTGAGTTGATTGCGACTCTTAGCAACCCTATGTACAAGAGCCCTAAATCCTGCTCTATCCTGTGCCAATCTCACTGTCTCCAACACACTTACTCCTACCACCCCAGTCACTGAATTGATCCATCTCATTGAGAGTCTTCCTCTCCTGTGCTGACCCTAGTATTAAAATAATATGAATAAATATAGTTGTGAATGCTTTTTATAATTTGCTATTATATCTTAGATTATATGACTCTTCTCATTGCCATTGAACGGTTCCAATTCCACTGACTCTGACGTCGGATTTCTAAGGGTCTGAGTCACATGGGAAGAGACTACTCATCTTTCTCCAAAGACCAGAAGAGAGTGTCGGCCTTTTGTTAGCGCATCTCCCTCCCTCCCACCCTGTATTTGTCTCTGTCTCTGCCTCTGCCTCTGCCTTTCTCTCCCTCCCTCCCTCTCTCCCACCCTGTCTGTCTGTCTGTCTCTCATCTCCTGCCAGAGCTCCCTCAGTTATGTGATTGTTGTTGTTATGTGCCATCGAAACCTTGCTCTATACTGTGCCAACCTCATTGTCCCTGACACACCTACTCCACTTACCCCAACCACTGAATCGACCCATCTCATTAAGGGTCTTCCTCTCTTGAGCTGTCCCTCCACCCTCCCAAGTATGATGTCCTTCTCCAAGGACTGATCCCTCCTTGCAGCATGCTCAAAGTATGCCAGACAAAGCTGTAGAATCCTTGCCTCCAAGGAGCAGTCCAGTTTTACCCTCTCCAGGACAAAATTGTTTTTTCTCCTAGCAGTCTGTGGTATATTCAACAATCTTTTCCAGCACCACAGCTCAAAGGCATCAATTTTCTTTCTATCATCCCTAGTCACTGTCCAACTCTCTAACACAAACATGCATTTGCGAAGACTATGGCCTGGATCAGGTGCACCTTAGTCTCCAGCCTGACATCGTTGCTCTTCAGTACTCTGGAGAGGTCCCTGACATAAGACTTTCCCAATGCAGTTTATCCCTTGATTTCTTGGCTGCTGGTACCAAGAGTGTTGATTGTGGAGTCAAGCAAACTAAATCTGTTAACCATCTCAATCTCTTCACCATCTATAATGATGCTGCCAATAGGCCCAGTAGTGAGAATCTTTGTCTTTTTATGTTGAGCTTCAATCCATATTGAAGGCTGCAGTCCTTGACCTTCTGTAGCAAGGTTGTTGATGAATATTCCTTCAATCCTGATGTCATATTCCTCCTTGTACAGCCCAGCGTCCGGATGATCTGTTCTGCATAGAGATTGAAAAGATATGGAGACAGAATATATCCCTTGCGGACACCCTTCCCAATTTTGAACCATGCAGTGTCTCCTTCCTCTCTTCTGACGACTGCTTCTCGGTTCAAGTATAGGTTTTGCAAAGCACAATCAAATGTTCTGGGATTCCCATTCTTCTCAGATTTAATCACAGTTTGTTGTGATCCACACAGTCAAAAGACTTTGCATAGTCAATGAAGCTCAGACATTCCTCTGGTACCCTGCTTTCTGCCAAGATCCATCTAACATTAGCTATGATAACCCTAGTACAACAGCCTCTTCTACACCCAGCCTGCACAGCTGGCAGTTCTCTGCTGATGTGTTGCTCTTCCTGTACTATTTGCGACATTATTAGTAACTAAACGGAATCCTTGAATTTTTTTCACCATCTTTTCCTTTAGTTACTCCTACACTTTCAAAAAAGCTATAGGTTAACAAATGTTAAATGCCACAATATTTAGAGCGAAAATAACAGAAAAGTTGACAAATCAGTGAGTATAATAGCACTGGCTGTAATGAAAACAGCTTTTGCTTAACGAGTGTGCAGACAAAACCATGTGATTGAAATGTTATGTTAATTGGGTGATAAAACAGCTCTGACTGGAGCACATTAGAAAGTTAAGAAAGGCCCAACAACAAACAGATGGATATAAAAACTATGGTACATTAGCACTATGGAATATTATGAAGTATTGGAAAACAACTCAGTATTACACAGCATGAGGAAGCTTGGAGGACATTATGCTGAGTGTAATATCTCAGTTGCAAAAGATCAAATACTGTATAACACTGCTGGTATCAAATAGGACAGACAGGGGTAGGCAGCGAATGGGGAAAGTGTCGATAGGAAATGAACATAGCTGAGAGGAAGACCTGTCTGAAAGCAGTATATGATTAGGCATTGTACATATGATAACAGTCTAGAACAAGGGGTGCATTGCTGGGTGGGCATGGGGAGGGGCGAAGAAAATGTGCAACAAAAGAAAAATATAAATTTGAAAAAAGGTTAAGAAAGGAAATTAGAGTTTTAGCCAATATGTTTAAACTGGGCTCACAAATAAGACTTCTGCACTTGTTCTAACTAACCTACAAATTCTTAAAGACACTATTAGGAATGGGTCTCATTCTACTCTACTTATAGCATGAATGATTATATGGCAGAAAAGAAGATAACCTAGATAAAATGGACAAAATCCTAGAAACAGACTCCTCCATCATGTCATTAAGAAGTAAGGCATCTGAGTAAATCCATTATATGTCAAGAAGTTCCAATAGTAAAAAATGTGCTAAAAAAGAAAGATTCTGGGCCTAATGGCTTCAGTGGAGAATTCTAACAATAGAATTATAGAAGTGACTATAATCCTTAAACTTTTCCAAAAAATAGAAGAGATGGGAATACTTTCTGACTCTTTGTAGGAAGAAGAAACCACAAGAAGCACTGCAATCCCAAAGTGTGAATCCACCAGCTGCACTGTGGGAGAAGGATGGGCAGTCTCCTGCTGTGCGATTAATTGCCTTTGAAAACCCATCAGAGGGTCAGCTATGGGTCAATTCTGACTTGATGGTGCACAACCAACAACAGCAACATGAGTACAGAGGGGAAAAACCTTTGCTAAAACTTAGGGAATCTAACCCAAGAATATATGAAAAGGATTCTGTGGGGATGTGGTCATTGCATTTTGGGGCTGCTAAATGACAATCAATGGTTCAAATCCACCAGCTGCTCTAAGGTAAAAAGGGGAGAGAATTTCTTGCTATAAAGATTTATAGACTTAGAAACCACATTGCCATTATTCAGAAACAATAGCAGCATTTTTGGGTTATCTTTTTTTGTTGTTGTGTGTTTTTTTTTAATTTTTAATGGTTGTTTTTGTGTGTGTATAGATGTTGGTGTTATGTGCTGTTGAGTCACCTGCAACTCATAGTGACCCC